TTATACACTAGCAACTACAACTAGCATTTATAAGATAATATATATAAAGACCTAAGTATTTTGATCAATAATGTTTTTTTCTTTGATGAATTTGGAGGCTGCATTTTGGATTTTCTATTCACAATGGTGAAGACTACTGCATGTACTTGCAATAAAATGTCCCCAACAAAAAATTAGATTGCATATATTGCTCAAAATATGTAAAATTTTTCATCATATAATTAAGAGCTTAGTATCATGATACAAGTTTGAGAAGTAAATATAAATTGTGATTCATTTGTCTTTCAAATTTTAATTTGAATATTGTTATGTTCGATATGATTTTGATGCAATATGCAAATCTTTATACTACAGAAACGTAATTCTGCATCATGATCTTACAATAATTTTCAACATTCAAAAAATGTTTACAAAGAGATTTAATGTGACTCAATGTGTCTAACGCTACAAAATCTACAAACTAACAATTTTGACTGTGGTTGTAGACATACATCTAGGCTATATTCAAGGCTTATAAAATGCTAAACAAAGTGAATGCTTTTGATTTTGAATTCAGTGGAATTTAAGATTGATAGGTATAATATTTTGCATTGTAGTGGGTCAAAATTGTAATGTTAAATTTATTTAATTTCTACATATAGTTGTTTAAAAATTGTTGGTGTGTTTGATTTAATATGTTGATTTTATGCAATAATCTATGCATATTGTATTTTGGATGTAAACTCAGACTTGCTACATTATACAAGTAACTATGTTTTACATTGTGCATTGTATTTTTGAATATGTTGAGTCAAGGTAAAGAGAGTGGTGACTGGTATTTTCAAAAAGAATTCACATCCATCATAAAAAGCACAACCTCAAACTTTTGATAACAGACATGTGTACAAACTTAAACCACCACACATTCAAAAGAAGTTTTCGGATGGAGATAATTGACAAAATTTCTGACTCAAATATAAATTTTTGATATCATATTCTAGATTATCCTGGACATCTTTATTTCAGATTCGATGTTAGTCAAATGATGTGATGCATCACACTGCAAGGTCACAGGATGATTCATGCTAGAACAAAACCAGTTAATCAATGCCACAAACATCATCAGATTATCCATATATTGCTGGATCTCCATGTAGAATCGTCAGAGAATTACCATATTCAGGATTTTAACATATTCACCCCGAATAATATATGAGAACCAAATCCTTGTCAAGTATTAAACTCTCCACCTTACTTGCCACATGGAGCAAGATGAATTCAAATTTGGCTGAGTACCAATAGAGCTAAGCTTGAATTTCTAAAAGAAATCCATATCATATCCAATTTTGACTTGAGCAGATGAACGCAACACAATAGATTCCAACCCTCGAACGTATGACTATGCATCATGTCATATGATGATGCTGAAGTTTCACACTTCATCTAACAACATCTCAACTACGAGCAATTGTTATTACTGTGGATTAACGCATGTGAAGCTAGGGAAAAAGCTATCGTTAGATAGGCCAATAAATTTTCATTCCCTAGTCATTCGATTTGTTCTGGGTGTGAAAATCTAATTAAAGCATCTATGTTGCACGTACAACTCAAATGTAAACTTTTGAATCAGCTTTTATGTTATATTCTCCATGTCTCAACATGTATTATTGCGAACTAAAGTTGCCTACATGATCGCCCCTTATCATGTGCGCATTCAGCAGTCCAGTTTTAATGCTACTGCATTTTTTCCACTAAAGGCATATGTCTAAATTTTACATATAATCTTTAGTCCAAAGAAGAAGAATCATACCATTCTGGATAGTGACACATGGTACTTGATCAGGTGTAATGTGTCCTGCTGCTGCACTGAGATAGACAGTCTCGAGGGCCTTCATATATCGCACTTCCTGCACTGTAATATCCATCAGTACTTGAAGCAGTCACGGGGATTACCTCGTATCTTCAAATCAGAAACAAGCAGAAAAAAAACTTTATTGGCGTAGCTTCTGGTATACCGAGAGGCATCTTCCAACTGATCATCCAATGCCTCTCCCTGTGTGTTACAATTTCAGATCAGGCACAATTCATGACGTCCTCTGGCGAGTTCAAGGTAAGGCAGTACTGACTATCCTTGTGATGACTTGAGGTAGTACGAACCTTGAAAACACAGAAGAAACTTACTTGTACTTCTGTAACAAGCAAACTAAGCGAAATAGAATGTCAAGCCAGTGCTGCACCATTGATGCTTTCAGCCATGTACATACTCGACATAAAATAATCTCGCCCACTGTGGAAGTGAAGGAACATGTCAATGAGACTACAAACTAGTTGCAAATCACTTCTGCATTTTGTTGGGAAACCTGTTCAGATTCACCCGACTGTCTCATTTCTTTATTGGAATAGTACCAATCATGGGAGCCACCAGATATTGAGGAGAGCATGAGAGTTGTGTTTTTTAGTGAATGCCAACAGACCCATGTACGCTATTTAAAACAGCATAATACCAACACACACGCATGCAAAATATGTAAGCAAGAACTTTGGACCTAAGAAGGGACCTTGAGGTTTGGAAACAGATATCTGACATTCACATTTGTTGCTTGTAGGAAAAAAACGTCTTAGAAAAAAGTAGCTGCAAACATGCCATGCCAAGATTTGAACCAGCTACACTTCGACGTCTACGAACTGACTGCCTTTCAAAATATATACACACAATTGTTGCACTTCACATCCATTGCTTGGGGAAGCTTTCCTGTTGAGTTTCATGACCTTCAGAAGTAGATGAAACGTTGACAGAAACAATTTCTGACGTGCCATGACTACTGCATCACCACCATGGCAGCGATGATGCACACGAAAAAACTGTCGTTTCCTGCCTTTCTGCATTGCTTTGAAATCAACTAAACCTCAAAACACTAAACCTCATATTTTCTTGCATATATGCCTGCATGCTATGCAGGCTCGAAGTTGGCCAAATTCTATCTGAAGGAAAATTTTATAGGTTTCATTCCCTTAGGTACCTTGAACAACTTAGCAAAAAAAATTCTCTCAACCTAAATTGATACATGTGGTGATAAGATTTGTATTCATAATGGTAAAGATCTGATAGAGAAAAATGCCTGATGCCTCCTTTTCTCTATCTAAAGTATGTAGAGATATCCTGACCGGGTTCACCGCCAAGCATGCACGCCATGTTCTTGCCGTGGACTACCAGGGCCTGTAGATTCCAAAAGTCGTAGCTAATTTTATTGATTTAGAAATGGAAATCGCTTCTTCAGCTACCTCCAATTACTACATACAACAACGGAAAAATCAGGTATTCAATTACGTAATCCATTACACGATGCTTGAAGAAAAAGAAAAACGGTAGTGTAGCAAAACACCTGCCAAAGAAGTAAACGTTGTTTATGAATTCGAACATTAACAATAGTTTAACATTAACGGGACTTGTGGGTTTAATTCATCATCCCAAACCAACAAATCTGGGCAAAGGGGCTGGTAACATTCTGAACGGTAGTCTAGCAAAACACCTTCCGAAGAAGTAAACGTTGTTATGAATCGAACATTAGCAGTAGTTTAACATTAACGGGACTTGTGGGTTTAATTCATCATCCCAAACCACAATTCTGGGCAAAGGGGCTGGTAACATTCTGAACGGTAGTCTATCAAAACACCTTCCAAAGAAGTAAATGTTGTTATGATTCCGAACATCAAATGGACTTAAACATTAACGGGACTTGTGGGTTCTATTTATCAACCCAAACGAACAATTTTTGGCAAAGGGACAGGAAACATTCTGAACGGTAGTCTAGAAAAACGCCTTCCAAAGAAGTAAACGTTGTTATGATATCAAACATCAAATGGACTTAAACATCAACGGGTCTGGTGGGTTTTATTTATCAACCCAACCAAACAATTTTTGGCAAAGGGACTGGAAACATATTACCTATACTGTATTTACTTGAGTCTTGACGTGTTGATAGAGCCAATATCCCTTAATTACTGTTTGATACAGAGAACAAATTTTGAATAAGTAATGGCTCTAAAGAGTTAAACCTCCCAATAGTGACATATATTGGTACTTAGGTTTTACGTCACTATTGCGAGGTGTCACTCACAAGAGTAAAGTGTGTATAACCTCCTAATAATAACATACATTGGTGTTAAAATTGGATGTCACTATTGGGAGGTGCATAATTTTAATATAACCTTCTAATAACAACATATATCGTTGTTGGGGTTATATGTCATTGATGGGAGGTGTCAATTATATTAAAAAAAATTCATATATTTCTTATCGTGCATTGCATCAATCCTAAGACTTTCTATTAATTTTTTGTTTGGTTTCAAAATGGCCTTTATTTGCACATCTGTATTGTTAACATGGATGTTATAATTACATTTAAATTTAGATTAATACACACAAATCTGAGTGAAACAATTAATGATAATATATGTAGCAAACTATGGGTTTAGGGTTAAACCCTAAACCTTTACTTAAATTCAAAAAGAGTGAATTGTTCAGATATACCTTTAAATATACTTATGCCACAATTTTTTAGTCTCATAACTATGTATTGTGATAATGATAGGATTTTTTAACTCTGCAATTACATTTGAAATTGTCATTATTGTATAGTATCATGTCACTATTGAGAATAGTTACGTGCCGTTATTATTGAGCAGATTTACAAGTTAGAAACTAATGGTTCTGGGAATTTACGTCACTAATAAGAGATGACACTTTTGGGAAGTTTAACTCTGTAGTACCAAGTTGTATACAAAGAGGCAACTGCTAAACGGACTACGCTTCCGAGAGACAAACTACGGTCGACAAATGGCGGTCCGAAAGCAAAAATGGCGAGAGCGGCCAGCCGGGAAACATGCGCATGCGAGACTGACAATTGGCAGCTTGTGAGTGGAATATTTGGCCGCACGCCTTCCTCCCCGCCGGGAGCGCTATACCTTTGTCGCGGCAGCTGGCTTTCTTTGTTATTCTTGATGCCTTCAGGTACGTTGTGCCCGAAATGTCAGATATCAAAGCGGTCACGGCGGCAAGGGGCGGTGATCGCGGGCGGGAGGACGAGGTTCACAATACTGTACCCTAGATCTCCCTCCCGTTTCTCGTCTCGTGGGCGTGAGAGCGAGAGCGATAGAGGAGACGGAGAGTGAAAGGCAACGGAAGAGTGGAGAAGTTGGGGAGCAGAGGTTCCTTCTCGGTGTCGGTGTCGGATTTCAGTGCGAGGACAAAGCTCGTTCGTATTGTTACGATAGATTTTCTTTTTTCCTCGTCGTCCCCTGTTCCACGCTTCGGTCGAATTTTTCTTCGAAAGAAGTTGAGGTGTTGAGTGTTACTCGGGAAGATGGCATCGCACCCTCATCATCTGCAACATCCGTCGTCGTCGCCTGGCATGCCTCACCCTCAGGCCGTGATGCAACCCCCCATGCACTATCCGCAGGGGCAGCCACAGGTGCGTCGTCTTTCTTCTCCTACACTGCAGTGATAGTCTTTTTTCTGGATCACTTAGACGAGATGTTTCATTCTACTCTATGTTCTCTTCATTCTCTGATTGAGTGTTTTTTCATGGATGTGTTTATCTCTTGGATTTCTTTCATTTGTCGATGCCTTGGATTTCTTTCATTTGTCGATGCCTGTTGAAGCTCTGGTATGGTTGCGTTTGAATTCAAAACGTGCGAAATTCCACACGTTTTCAGACGTTCAGAAACGTCTCAAATACATTTTTTCCGTTATTTATCACGGTCACCGTAGCGGTGGTGTCCGTGCACGGGCGGACCAGGCTCGTAGAATCTAGAAATGCATCTCATTTGAGTCATTTTGCAAATGCATTCTTGTGGTCGAGTGATGGATGGCGCAGCAGGTTGCAAGAAAGGATCTCACTTGGATCACTTCGTCAAGCTTCCGGCTGATCCCAAGTTTAAGGTTGCTAGGGCCAAGTTTAAGGTTGCTAGGGCGGAATGCAAGCATTGCAAATTGTCCATCTCTATGTTTTCGTCGAATATGAAAACTCATCTCGCCAATTGTTACCACTACACGCGCTTCGTTGGTGCTAGTACCGTTGGTGCTAGTACTATGAGACGACTTGCTCTACTCGCCGCATCGCAGATGGTATCTACGAGCACCAACAGTTTTATAGCTTCATCATCGATGGATTTTTCAATCTCAAGAGCAATCTGAGCGCGTAATTGGATGATATTATATATTTCCATATATAAAAAAATGCACCACTACCGTCCACCATATTACACATGACCACAAAACGGATAAAAGAAGATTTGGATGTGTCTGTATTTCTTCTAATAAAAAACGGACGCAGCAATAAGCTCTGGTTCAAGAGCTTTCCTTATAACTCGACTGTTTTGCAAACGACTTTTTCATTGTTGATTCCAACACCCTCTATTCCTTTGTATTTGCCTTCATTTGCCCAGTCCTGATGTGATCCGTCACTCTCGCTTCGCTACTCATCCATCTGTCAATAACGTTGTTAGAACTAGTTCAATTAAGTACAAATATTAGCAAGTGACGACTTTAGAATGTAATGTTTGGATGATTCTCATTGTGTATAGCAATCTTCAGGCCGGACCACACCTGTTTTCTCTCCTGTTTAGTTGTGTATTCCTCGTTTGACCTACTTCCACCCGTGCTGGGTTCAACCTAACGTCTGTTGCCCTTTGAGCTCATGATACCAGCATCAGTTGATAAATTGCGACAAAATTACATGGATGTGATCTGTCCATTATTGTTGGGGTGGTTGAGGTTGTGTTTGTCTTGAGAAGGAGTTGAGCATTAATTGGTGGGGGGTTGTTTGCGAGATGGGATGAAAGATTTTGATGGATGGTGGATATGGGATGGTTTCTTCACAGCTTCAAGGGCAGATGCAACCTCAACTGCATTACCAACAGATTCAGAAACAGCAGCTGCAGCTTTTCTGGCAGCAACAAATCCAGGAAATGGAACAAATCAATGGTATGAGTTCAATGCGCCATACATTATTTTTGTGTGTTAGTTGTTTGATTGTATGCCTATTTCTATATTTAAGGTGGAAGGTTAACTTTTCTGTGTATGTAGCATAAAATTGATCCGTTGAATGCACTGCCCGACCAGTTATTTATGCAATAACTTCATTATTATTGATGCATTTCTTATTCGATCTACATGCTATTCTGACCTCCATTTGGTGTTTTCTTTTAAGCCCGATCATCAAAATTTGTGTACAGTTTCTTGCGTTGATTACTACTAACCTCAGGACATACCCGCTTACCGTTTTGCATCGTTTTTCTAGAAAATCTATCGTATTCTTTTACTTCCGCCCGTGCCGGATGCATTATTAGCACCTGTCCAAATTATGTACATGTTGCGTCGTCCTCTCACTTTATGTATATCCGAAGGCCTTTTTCTTTCAAATATCTGTCCCAGTCAAAGGTCATCACTGACGTTGCCTTCTCCACCGTACACTTTAGCATCCTACAGCAGTACAGGCACTAACAAGAAACTTGATGTTGTGTTGGTTTCAAGGATGTTGGAAAGTTTATCAATATTTTTAAATTATACATGTGATCTTCGATTTCTTACTTCGTTTTTTCTTATTACAACAGAGTTCAAAAATCATCAATTGCCGCTGGCTCGAATTAAGAAAATTATGAAGTCTGATGAAGACGTCAAGGTGAATAATCAGTAACGTTGTCTCATGCACCTCAAAAGTAGCATAGTCTTTCATACTTTCTGCAAGAGTTGTATAATGTCTACAGGAATGTTTGCATAATGAGGACAATTGTAGAGATTTTTAAGATTGTGACTTGTTTGTGAGAAAGCACGGATATGGAGTTCAACAAGATCGCATTTGCAGTCAAAAAAATTAGGTCTAACAGTTTGTTCATCCTAATTAGCTTGTCAGGATGGTTAGATGAGATTTCGATGGTTTCATGGCTCTTAGCCTCTGGCTTCCCCTTCGTTTCTTTCTTGTATGGCTTGATGGGGTCTTCGCATACTTTTTTGTCACTTACTTGGCTCACTTGGCTCTTCTTAATAAATCGTTATAGGATCCCATTACTACGTCTCAAATGATTGATCCTAGTGTGATCTTTTTAACAGATGATTGCAGCAGAAGCACCTGTGCTTTTCGCAAAAGCTTGCGAGATGTTCATCCTAGAGCTTACCTTGCGTTCATGGATTCACACCGAAGAGAACAAACGACGAACCTTACAGAGAAATGACATAGCTGGTGCTATCACCAGAGGGGATATCTTTGACTTCCTCGTCGATATTGTTCCACGAGATGAACTGAAGGTGAAGAAAATTGGCGATCCTGAAAGGGACTTTAGAAAATTTTGTCTTTAATGGAGATCTTGGAACGTCTTTTTTATGTTGTTTAGTGTCGCTAACTTGTTCTCTCTTGAACTCGTAGGAAGAGGATGTTCCTTGGTCAGGAGTTGGTGTGGCAGGAGACCCATCAGTGTCTTACGGGGGACTTTACTATCCACCTACTTTACAGCAACCTCTCCATCATACAATGGCCTCTCCGGTGAGTTTCGAATTATATGTGAAGAAACTGTCTTTGTCATTATACGTAGTTTAGGGACGCTCCGGTGTGTGATGACGCCAGCAATTTCTGTGCTCGTATACATGTAGGTTATGTCCAGATGTATGCATACAAAAATTATCCATGAGGTTTTATCTGAATGGAATGCATGAACCTTGACATCCTCGTCCGCATATAGTAGAAAATTCTGTTGGATACACTTTATACGAATTACTGAGATTGTTGTAAATTGCTGGTCGTTTGAAGGATATGATGGTGGTTCAGCCGTCTATGCCTCCCAATCCGCAAATGATGTACCAACCACCGCAGGTACTGCCTAGTTTGTCTATGGAAAGCATAGTAAGTTTAGCAGTTTTACACAACTTGTTACTTGTTTTCTGTATCAAACGGCAATACACGGATATTGGCCTTATCAACACGTCAAGATTCACGTAAACATAGGCAGAATGCCTGTAGGGGGTTGAAGTCCTGTTAATGTTCGAAGTCATAAACAACGTTTACTTCTTTGGCAGGTGTTTTGCTAGACTATCGTTTTTCTTTTTCTTCAAACGTCGTTTTCATGGACTACGTATATGAGCTGATTTTCCGTTGTGGTATGCAGTAATTGGAGGTAGCTTACGAACCGATTTCCAGGTCCAAATGAATAATATTAGCTACGTTTTTTGGAATCTACATGCCCTGGTAGTCCAGGGCAAGAACATGGAGTGCATGCTTGGCGGCCCGGTCAGGGTATCTCTAGATACTTTAGATAGAGAAAAGGAATAGGTTTTTTTCTCTATCAAATCTTTACCATTATGAATACAAATCTTATCACCACAGGAACCAATTTTTGGGTGAAAGATTTTTTTTTGCTTAGTTGTTCAAAGATACCCAAGGAAATGAAACCTATAAAAGTTTCCTTCAGATAGAATTTGGCCAACTTCGAGCCTGCATAGCATGCAGGCATATATGCAAGAAAAAATGAGGTTTAGTGTTTTGAGGTTTAGTTGATTTCGAAGCAATGTAGAAAGGCAGGAAACGACAGTTTTTTCGTGTGCATCACCGCTGGCATGGTGGTGATGCAGTAGTCATTGCACGTCAGGAATTGTTTCTGTCAACGTTTCATCTACTTCTGAAGGTCATGAACCTCAACAGGAAAGCTTCCCCAAGCAAGGGATGTGAAGCGCAACAATTGTGTATATATCTTTTTAAAGACAGTTAGTTCGTAGACATCCAAGTGTAGCTGGGTCAAATCTTGGCATGGCATGTTTGCATCTACTTTTTTCTGTCGTTTCTGTTCTAGAAGTAACAAGTGTGAAGGTGAGATATGTGTTTCCAAACCTCAAGGTCCCTTCGTTGGTCCAAAGTTCTTGCTTACATATTTTGCATGCGTGTGTGAGTATTCTGCTGTTCTAAGTAGCGTACATGGGTCTGTTGGAATTCACTTGAAAGGCACAACTCTTATGTTCTCCTCAATATCTGGTGGCTCCGATGATTGGTACTATTCCAGTAAAGAAATGAGACAGTCGGGTGAATCTAAACAGGTTTCACAACAAAATGCAGAAGTGATTTGCTACTAGTTTGTTGTCTATTTGACATGTTCCTTCACTTTCACAATGGGCGAGATTATATTGTGTCGAGTATGTACATGGCTGAAAGCATCAATGGTGCAGCACTGGCTTGACATTCTATTTCGCTTAGTTTGCTTGTTACAGAAGTACGAGTCTCTCCTGTGTTCCTGTTCCAGTACTCTGGCTCAACTTAAACTCGGCAGAGTACGTAATGAATTGTGTCTGAGCTGAAATTGTAACACGCAGGGAGAGGTATTGGGTGATCAGTTGGAAGATGCCTCTCGGTACACCAGAAGCTACGCGAGTAAAGTTATTTTTCTGCTTGTTTCTGATTTGAAGATATGGGGTAATCCCCGGGAATGTTTCGAGTCCTGATGGATATTATAGTTTGGAAATAGTTTTCAACGAGCAATTGACGTGTCTCGGTTCACCTCACTAACTGCGTCATTGCCCCAAGCGCAAAGATAGTGGGGAAGTGCAGGAAGTGCGATATATGAAAGCTCTCAATAGTGCCTATTCTCAATGCAGCAGCAGGACACATTACACCTGATCAAGTACCATGTGTCACTGTCCAGAATGATGTGATGCTTCTTCTTTTGACTGGATATTATTTATTCATTTTAGACGTAAGCGATTAGTAATATGTGCATAAACATCACAACATGACTGCTGAATGCCACATAGTAAGGGCGATTATGTCGGCACTATTATTTCATGATAATGCACGTTGTGACATGGAGAAAATAACGTGAAATTTGATTCAAAAAGTTAAATTTGAGTTGTACGTGGAACACAGTTGCTTTAGTTAGATATTCAGACGCACGTTTATTATTAAATATTTCGGTGATTACGGTGAATCCTTGTTGAAACTAGCCGTCACCAGTCTCTTTACGTTGACTCGGCATATGCCACAAAACAATTCTCAATGTGAAACACAGTTACTTGTATAAGGTAGCAAGGCTCATTTTACATCCAAAATACAATACGCGTACATCATTACATAATAGCAAGTAACACAATACAAAATTTGATTTTTTCTGTAATAAATAGAATAGAATAGAATTAGATTAAAAGGTAGAATGAAAAATAATTATTTTTTTCCAAGGATTTTTTTTGGTCAAGTGTGCGAAAGATTTACTGGTCCAATATTGGAAAACAACATGATATTTTTTGGAAATTTAATGAGAATGGTCAGAGAAAAATTTGTCTCTTATTTTTAGAGCAAAGCAATGTACATGCAACGTACTTGGGATGATTGTTGTTAAACAGTATATTAGACAAGAGGAGTAGTCATAAGGAAGCTCTACAGATCTAAGCATTTCAGGTGGAGATATTTCAAATGTTTTGAAAGATATTTGAAGCTATGAACAAGGACTTAAGCTTTTGAGGGAGACTGTGTGAAAGGCGTACTATATCAAACTGGATAATTGTAAATGTTTCTTTTATACCTTATGGCTAATTTCAGACCACATGTGATCTACTATGGTAGAGATAGCACGAGTTAGTGTAATTCACGAATATCACTCATATTAAAAGATAACAATTCATATGCTTATTCAAAAGATAGATATACGAGGATTTGTCGAAACATCTTGAATCGAAGCTTTGTGATGCCATTTGGACTAGCGCATATTTCGTTTTCTGGTTCATAACATCACCGATACATTACCCGTTCCAAATTTATCATGAAATATCTGTATTGCTTAGAAAATGCCGACCTTTGGGTCTCCACTCGGTCGCTCTAGCGAATCTGTCCACATCCCAAATCAGAGTCGCCATTCGAAGCTTAGGGCTACAGGACACGAGAGAACAGGTGAGAGCGAGGCGAGGTGGGGATGGTGGGCGTGGTTGGCATGGACGTAGTGCAGCGAAACTTAAGCTGCTGCGTCGAAGTTAACCTCGGAATCGCGTTCCGCACCTACCACGACAAGACAAGATGGGCACCGTAGTCCTCCTACAGAGCACCAGAACGGAAGGAACGAGCGAACGACAAGTCAGGACAGAGTACGACGACGACGACGATGAGAACGGTTTCGACCCCGAGGGTCCCTGTTTCGAGCCTGTCCGTCCGTCCGTCCGTCCGTCCGCCGGTCCGTTGGTCTGTTCGGGCACTCGAACGGGGCGTGAGCGTGGCAGGGGCAGGGGCAGGGCGAGTTTGTCTCTCTGCAGTTTTAGAAGCCATGTCGTAAAGAGCGGAGCCCCCCGAAGGAGGAGGGGAGGGGAGGGGAGGGGGTGGTCAGCGAGCCAGCCCCCGGCGACCGAGGCCCCGCGTCTGAGGGAGGGGGGAGGGAGAGAAGAAGAGAAGGCGAGGGTCGTTCGTTCCGTTCGTCCTCTGGCAGGCCGTGGGGAATTTTGCATACTTGTCTGCCTCGGCTCGCCATTCTGCATCGTGTGTGTGTGGGACTGAGGAGGAGCCATGTACACACCGCAACCTAAATTTTGGTTCTAGAGCTCGTGGCGTGGATCTGGCTCTCTGGCTCTCGCTTTCACTGACTGACTTCCCGAGGAGTGGATGGTCCCCTCGCTCTGACATACCTGAGGTCCAGTGCTGTCGTCTCGTCGCGTCCACTGTCGTGAATTTGTGGGTGCTCGTTTACGTGCCGTCCGCACTCGGGACGCCTCTGGGATGCTGGTTTTGGCTTAGTGGAATCCACGCGCAGGTGCAGACGATCGGCGAATGGGTTGTTAATCGGGATCGCCCGCTCGCTGCTGATCGATCTGGGGTGTTTTTGGCGGGGAGAGTGTGTGAATTTCCCGAGTTGCCCATGTGGTCGGGTTCGAGGTGGATAAGAAGCAGGACGAGGGAGGGGGTCATGAGCAGCAATTGCACAATTTGAGAGCAGAGGATCGGTCGGACGGAGGGAGAGAGAGAGGGAGGGAGGGAGAAGAGGTGCTTGTGGGCAGCAGGCAGAGAGGTTGTAGATACCATGGCTAAGCTCAGGGCTTCTTCTCTTCCTCGTCAGTGGTCACAGCTCAGATCTGCGTACCAGGTCTTGGGCGGACAATCGAGTCATCCACAGATCGCTTCGCCCGATTTGCATTGCTTGGATGGGCAACGGAAGCGCTCCATCACGTACATGCCCAGGCCTGGGGATGGAACGCCGAGGGCTGTGACACTTTTGCCCGGCGATGGCATAGGACCCTTAGTTACCGGAGCAGTGGTCCAAGTCATGAAGGCCATGCACGCCCCTGTGTATTTCGAGACCTACGAAGTATCGGGTAAAATGGACAAGGTGCCGCAAGAGGTTATCGATTCTATCAGGAAAAACAAAGTTTGTCTGAAAGGAGGTCTCGCCACTCCCGTAGGAGGTGGAGTGAGTTCGCTCAACGTCCAGTTGAGGAAGGAATTAGATTTGTTTGCTTCTTTGGTGCACTGCTTCAATCTGCCCGGTCTCAAGACACGCCATGACAACGTCAACATTGTGGTAATTCGAGAGAACACGGAGGGAGAATATTCTGGATTGGAGCACGAGGTGGTCCCCGGCGTCGTTGAGAGCCTTAAGGTACGTCGGAAGCGTCACATAGCCCGCAAGTGCTGATAGAAGAGGGAGTACTAGAGTAGAAATTCTCAATTCTGACTTGAGCCCTTTGTAAGCAGAAACTGCTGGCAAGCTCGTCTGAGACGTATTAACTGTTGAGGAAGGAATTACACGAGTTAAAGGCTGGTTTGCTCGCATTTTGTATGCTCATCCAGACGTATTTTTAGGAGAAAAGTTTCAGCGTTAAGCTCTCTCTTTTCTTTCTACACCATCTCCAAGAAGGCTGTCACTTAGAAATGCAACAGATTCAGGTCCAGCGTTCGCCACTTCGAGAAGCGGTTTTTTTATGTTCTTACCCTGGCCTAGATCCGACAGATTTGCAGACTTGCTTGATCTTTGAGTCTTGTCTAGTATGAGAAAGAAAAGACGTGATTTCCAGGATTTTATGAAGTATGGGCGGAACTTAGAAAGTTGATTTATTGAAGTCTGTAAGATACCGTTGATCAAGTAGCTTCTCGTTGTTTCTGCTTGAATGTTGTTCTCATTAAGTAGTGTGATACACTATAAGCGTCTCTCTTCTCAACTAACTTAATGAGCACTAATAGGTGATCACAAAGTTTTGTTCGGAGCGCATTGCAAAGTACGCATTTGAGTATGCTTACCTGAATGGGAGAAAGACAGTTACGGCAGTCCACAAGGCCAACATCATGAAGCTTGCAGATGGACTATTTCTGGAATCATGCCGAGAAATTGCAAAGAATTATCCCAGTGTCAAGTATAATGAAGTTATCGTCGACAACTGCTGCATGCAACTGGTTTCCAAGCCTCAACAATTTGATGTCATGGTATGTAATGAAGAAATTCATACATCTTGTAGTGTTCGTTTGTGCATGTTGTGCCTATCCTCTTCCATTGCCTAATTTGTGTTTCGAGCAATTTCTTTTATATACATTGTTATTAGGAAGTAGATTTGAAAGGTTTGGGAATATGGTGCTGAATCTGTTGTGTGATACACCAAATTTTCGTTGTTCAGGTTACGCCGAACCTGTATGGAACTCTAGTGGCAAATACCGCAGCTGGTATTGCAGGCGGTACTGGAGTCATGCCTGGAGGTATGTTTATTCCAAAGAATTGTGGCTGTATGCGAGGGTCATGTCGATTGATATTCCTGTTTGGAAAGTTTCGAGTGATCATGCTTATGATAACAACGAGCACATAGCATGTTCAAAATTAAGATCGAGAGAGCGTACCTGTCGGAATATCATCTCAAACAGTTTCCTGCTTCGTATTTGGGAGAGATCGGAGAAGCAGGGGTTGATAATTCTATGGTCATTCCGATGTAGAGTGATTTTGAGAATGCACGATGTGTACCTTTGGGAGGTCCTGGAGGTAAGGGTAAGGGTTCAGTGAAATGAAAGATTTTGAGTGATGAGTATAAGAGCGGCCCTAGGCTTTTGGTAACATCTGAATCAGGCAATTTAACCTGTCTAGAGATCTCAAGTCCTGCATTTACAGGCTTCGAGCTGTGAGACTTCATTCGCTTTTACCGGTGGCAGCTTGTTTAGACAGCAGATTAGTTGTCTTTTATGGCATAATCGCATATTCAGCTTATCTGAATGGAATCTAGTCACTACAACACGGATGTTCTGTAGGACTGTACTTCTGACCTCTTTGTATTCATGCATCGGTCGTCTTTTACTCCTTGCGATGTAGTATATGTCGTCGGAACTTTTGAGACTTGACACCTAGATCCGCTTTCCGTCTGTCCCTTGCATGCTAAACCCCTTACAATCACTGTTTTATCTGTCGGATTGCAGTTTCAAGAGTAGAGAATTTCTTCTTACCAGAAATAGTCGTTTGATTGCAGTCCATATCACCCTCAAACTTCGGTCACACTCTGTAGGTCATCGTTATGTACTTTATGGTTACTACTACTGACTGGGTTTCTACACACCAAAGAGCTACCTTTTTACTTATTGGTAGAAAAATTGCTTCTCCGAGAGTTCCTCGTATTTTAATCGACGGTAGTATCGCACAGCAATTTACGTAAACCTCGAACCTGAGCTGGTCGAGAATAGAATTTGAGCTTACAACTCACTGATCATGACGCGTTCGGGAACTCGAGAGAGGTTCCTTTTATAGATGTTTGGATTCACTCGACCTATTAATTCTTGGTTCGGAAGGGAAAAGTGGGCTATCAGACTAACAGTGCGGGGAGGAAGCGAATTAAAAAATGTGATCCTAACCTTTACTATCTTACCTTAACCCTTAAGCCGTGGGTCTTCAAGCTCCATCTTCAGGGGTTTCATGTTTAGGCACAAAGTTGAAACCCAAGTACCGGATGGGTTCCATTCCTTTGAAACAACAGAAGAGTCGTAGGTGAACAACTTTGCTACTTGAATTGTGCGATATCGGAGACAAACTTTACGTCCAAATTTTGCGTTCATGCAGCTTCTATGATAGAAAGAGAGGGCCCGTATACCATGAACTCTTTTACCTTGATCGTACTTTAAACCTACTCGTGCTTTTTAAGCCTTGTTTCAAATGTCAACGCTGTTGCCTTCTTCACCGCATTATATTTCTGGGCTCGTCAAGAGGACAGTTCGACGCTCCTCTGCGGGAGAGACCCTTGTTTTCTCTTAAGTAGTCCTCCTTCTTCATCCCATCGTATTAATTCCATCTATCACTACTAGCTCTACTGAGACTGTCTTTAGTATATGACAGGCAATTGCTAATGAGTAGACCGTCAAAATCTTTGCAACGTGCTCTTCTTTTAACTACTTGTTTTGATGGAAATGTTCGGGGAGGCTTAGATTTCATGTTGGGCGGGTTATTTCGTGTAGTTTGGTTTTCGTTTCTATTTGGTAAATGCAGCTGGTCGATGGTCTTCATGAGTTTAGAATCACGTGTCATGAAACAAAATAAAATACAAAAATCCAAGAGTTTTACAGTATACATGTGGAAAGACATTTGTTAGTTACTTTGAGCGGCTGAATTCAGGCTTGAATGTTACTGCATGGCAGGAAATGTCGGAGCTGAGCACGCTATCTTCGAACAAGGAGCTTCAGCTGGAAACGTGGGAAACGAGAAGCTAGTGCTTCAGAAAACTGCAAATCCCACAGCAATTCTGCTGTCATCAGCCATGCTCTTGCGTCATCTCAAGTTCCCGGCATTCGCGGATAAGCTAGAGCAAGCAGTCATGGGCGTGATTGCCGAAGGAAAATACCGTACCAAGGATCTTGGAGGTCTAAGTACTACACAGGAAGTCGTGGATGCTGTACTTGAAAAGTTGGATGTTTAGCTTGTACTTTGGTTTAGTATCGACATTTTCTTTGTGTATGTACAGGTGTGCTGGTGCATACACCTCCCAAATTAGATCAACATCTCTCTTGCTATGTGGTTCTTGCACCCCTTAGCCCTGCCTGAGTAGCCGGATCCGGGGATATGATTTTATAGAAACATCAGCCTCGATGTTCAGCGTCCACAATGCACCTGATTTGACAAAGCCGTCTTGAAGCGTGCATCGTACTTTTCGCATGAGTGTACATTGGTGATAACAGTTGATGAAGCACTTTGTTAGCTCAAGATTACTTTTAGTTTGATATATTTCACCAGGACATCGCATCACTGGAAATAAGTGCTGGTGGGCGAAGCCGAGGCCTAGCTGCTGATCAAATGCTGTGGGTGCTTGCTTCCAGTAAAATGTGCAGTTTCTGACAATCTAGCTGCGAAGTGGGCTACCTTTGACCCCCTGGGGAATATTCAAGGAACCCAACTTGTCCGTGTTGTATTTCCGACTTTGTACCTATCGCTTCTGAATTTATCCAAGACATGGAACCAGTTTCCGCCCCGAGAGACTTAGCCTCGTTTACTGTGAGCGTCTGCTTTTTGATGCTCTCTTATTCCTTCCTACTTGCAACATCTGTACTACGTGTGGCAATTGTTGTTCTGATGTCGTACACTGCTCAGTGCACACGGGCCACGAAGTACATCAGAGTCCAGGGTTTCAGTCCTGTATATGTAAACCAAAGGAGCCGTCTTGTTTCGGATCTCGAACAGATCTTAGGTTTTTTCCTTCCTACATGACTTTCGAATATAATACGATTTCCCAATTTCGAGAAAACTATTCCCAGATTGAATTGAATCGGGAAAGGCTTTGAGGTGCTGGGGATTTATCGAGCTGATTACACAAATTCCTACTCGAAAATGAGATTTGTCTTTTCTAAATTACAGCATCAAAACCTACTTCGATCGACAGCCTCAGCATGAAACTCAGTCCAAGTGGAATGCGTTGAGAGCAGTTTTGTCAGTAACCATGAGCATGCAGCCACCAGGAAAGTGTCTTTGTCAAAGATGTCCCTTGTGTACGACTCTTCTTCCGATTTACCGTGGAGTAATGTGTGGATCCAGATTATAAGGGATGTGAAATTGGAATTGACCTCCGGACATCGCATTATAGATCTTTTCATATTTGTCAGCTAGACCTCCGACTAGTTTCTTATTCAGTTAACATATTCGGTCTGGACGGTTCATGTTTGATGTGTTTTTCTCATTGTCAGATAGATCAGATTTTTATATGGCTGGTTCTTGCTACGAACGCGAATATGCAGAAGTTTACTTGGTTGAAGATGACTTGGTAATTGTAGCTCACTATTTGGTTATAGTTGATACAGGCAACATCGTTTCCACTGGGTAATTTTGTAGCCTCTTTAGCGTACCATGAAACTACAAGAACCAGTAAGAAACGAGGTCTAGTTTCGAAGATGTGTAGTTGAGCATAAATTTTAGGAACCACATGGAAATTATATTCCTACGAAAATTTGTGTACATTTTTTGTTATACTATGATTCAATTGAACCTTTTCGTCTATATAAAATAAATTAAAATTTTTTATTTTGATTTTCATAGAGAAAATTAATCTGATAGATAATAACTAATCTAGTTGTAAATTTTGATATTTGATCTCTTAATAGGTTGTTTTATGGGCAATGTATAATTTTGATTGCTTTCTAAAATAATAAATGGGTAATGAATGAATAATTTTTCTCAAGTATAAATCGATAACGAGGATGCAATAGCGAGCACATGATTAAGATAATCGGGTTGCATGATAAGTTTGTTAAAGAATAACAAAATAATCATGTCATATCAACATAATCATGTAGGATATCTCCGGTTGTAGTAAACTATCTTCGATTAAATATTAATAGAAGACTTTTGATTTTGATATTTACATATTATTTTAAATGATAAAATATAAGAAAATAAAAGAAAAACTTAAATCGGAATACAATTTAAATTTTTTTCAGGGTATACTATAATTATGTATGGATATGAATTTTTCTTAGCAATTTTTATTTTTTTTTAATACATTGCTATCAAAGATGATGATTACTTTTCTTTGGAAATTCATCTAACGTTCAAGATATAATATTATTTGACGAATACATAACTTCTTACAAATCCGGCTGTTCTACCTTCCCCAGGGCTTCCTCGTCTGGAGAACTGAAACTCTTCTGGACTGGCTGTCTGGGATGAAGAGCTAGGAGAAAATCTCCCCACAAGGTGCTCGCACTCCTCATTGGCATCCCTTCTGAAAGAAGGTGATGGGTTAGGCTACCATCCCTGTGACATCGGTGACTGGGATGGAGCAAGACCAAGACATACGTCGCTCATTTTTTCTACAAACACGACGAAAATGGACAACCTACTGTAGTGCCATTCTAGGCGCACGGACGCATACGACTGGGAGCGGCAAATATCCGAGCTTTGTATCGACAGTTTCTTTGAACATGGCCTGAGACGATAACATCCAATGGGATCGCGGAAAGGGAGAAGAAAAATATCTTCACTTTGAACGCTAGAAATTTAAGCGTAATCAGATGGCTATCTGAATCAAACTGCACAACACGTCTTCGTTGTGTGAAACATTTTTCTCCTGCTGTGATTAGGCCTGATTTCAAGTAAAACTATTCATCCCATATCCTTGTCAGTGGGTACATAGCTTGCCTCTGAGAGCGTGGGATTTCAGGCTAGTCCACCTTCTTTCGCATCAAGAGTTCAACGAATTTGTCACAAAGAAGTTCAAAGTCACGAATGTTGATGTCTTCCAACCATCAAATTTTAGCTGTAAGCATACGCGAAAGTTCATCAATCGTTTCTCCGACTTCGAAGACATTACACTCTCAAATTGATATGAATTTCCAGTTTTAGCAATAATTCAATCTCGAATCCAGCTTGCAGTACCTGAGACTTTTTCGATCACGTAAAATTTAGCAGCTCTCCACATGATGTGATTGAGACCGATCAACTCTGGTTCTTCAGTGGCTAGAACTTGTCTTTTGTAACACGGAGCAGATCTGCTGACAATCAAAATTCTCTTCTCTCAGAGCTCCTCAACTAGGAACTCAACCCTGCTCAGGTGGTTTGAGAACTCCAAATGCCAGTCACCTGGTGCAATAAGCTTTAATTATTGCTCTGATGTGGGCAGATCAATGTGCGCTATTACTCTTCCTTTTTCAGAACTTCATCTCTCTTCACAATTATTCTCCTCAATGTGTTCACGTAGGTGTAAGAAGCAAAAACAACAAATAGCCTTCTATACCTGCAAAAGTTGAAGCGTTATCCAGTCAGCTTCAGGCCAAGCCTCTTGAAGTTCTCAGCACTATAGCAGAAGGAATAGTTATCCTACATATCTGCGCAAACCCGACTTCACTGATAATTTAGCAGACTGTTGAACTCTAACAAACTGTTCTGCTTATATTTTTTTGAAAGAGAGGATAATACCATAGCCACTGACTCTTATGCTGTTTCATCGCACCCACACTTGTTAGGGGGTTCGGGGTTACGAAGCAATGACACTGCCCTCTCTTGCGATTCCACAACCATCTGAGAGTTGAAATAAAAATTTCCAGCACACCAGAATATTTACGGGCGATATTCACGCTCTCCTGTCACAGGACATAAACAGTCATATCTTATCATGTCAGTCGCAACAAGCTAAGAAAAGTAACGACTGAGAACAAGCAAAAAAAACACTCAAGAATTATGCCTATCCCGAGGCAGCGGGGAAAGGACTAACTCAGACTGAGAAGGGGTCTGTCTTACAGAAGGATGAACAGTTAAGAAATCAGACGAAGAAAAACGAAATTGGTATCTCTGACCGTCGTTCGTCAAAATTTCAACTCAAATTTGGCGGAATTGATAAGTTACGTACGAGCTCCCAGCCTTCTATGTCTCCAGTTGAGATGAAGTCTTTTGAGATCTCGACGAGATAGGCACTGCAGAAGAAAACAGACGCAGTCGATTCAAACAAAGAGATTAGAACCATCATGCATAAGCATTCACGAAGAACCCTACATTAAACTTGACTTTATTTCCGCCTCAGTGATGACCCCAAGATGATCTGCCAGTACGTAACTTCTATTCTCTTCGAATTCTTTAGAATTGGTCATGAGATCGTTTGGTTAAAGCACGGGTGGTGTCTCACCGTAGAGCATGCGACAAAGCAGAATGATTTGGATGGCCAGAGACTCCATACTTGTCGAAAGTTATGACCTGAAATTTACAAAAGTAACATCACATGATATAAACCTAAATGGAAAAAAATTAGCAACGTCTTACATACAATGTACATGCCCCTTTCTTTTCTCGTACATGGCGCTACTAATGACTGTCAGTTACTCTAAGACAATATTGAGAAGTAAAACTGCCCCATCCACTACCTAACTGCACGTTTATGTGACTGACTCTTGTCGATAGTTTTGCCCGACCTACCCCAGGATATCTCCAATCATAAATATCTTACACAGTCTATAGATTGTGATTGCACAGCTTCCGCAATGATCTGGACAAGTAGCTGCTGGCTCCACTGCTGGGCGTGCCCATCCTGAGACACAGCGTTTGACAGTCATGTGCTATAAAAGACGTAGCAATCACATGATTATACAAGAAAACTTACTCAGAAACGAATTAACAAATGTACAGGATAATAGGGAAAGAGGTTGATACTTACTTGCAAAGATGGGTGATCAAGAACTTTCACATTCTCCGCTGGGACCTGCTCAGCCCTTTTCAGCAATAACACAACAAAAACTTCGCAATGATAAGCAAACACTAAAGATTAATTGCTGTTTATAGCTACATCTCATACATTTTGAGTTTGGACAGGATATCTCAATGACGCAGAAGCAGCCTCTGCTACTTGATGCTGTATTCACCTTTAAAACAGAGCATGATGACACCATTTCCAACGTTCGACAAGCTCCAAGGCCATCCGCATTTCCTGAGTGATAAATCTTCAAAGTTAATGGACAGTACCGAGTCTCGAAACGCCAATGAGGCGATGATAAAGCTGGAGAAAGACTGTAATAGAGAAGGAGAAGGCGATTTTCAACTGACCGTTAGAGATGCATAGCACGTGAAATTCACATCCACTGAGCATGGTCAAGGATAGCAACGTTGGACCAAAAAACCTACACAGAAGAATACTCGTTAGATCTTCACTACCACGGTGAGTATGATACAAAAGCTAATGAGTCAAGACAGAGCATACCATACCAGAATACTAAACTGCGCTGTTAACACAGTCACTTTAACGTTAAGAATGTCCGAAGAAATGTCTGTACATCCGCAGACTCTGGCACATTTGAGCTAATGCAAAGACTTTGAGCTTGGCCTGTTTCCAATTCCAGGTGCAGTAAAATTCAAACCTACTGGCCAACAGCAAATTCTCCTAACCCTTTGAGATAAGGCAGTGCCACAGAACTTGAGCTGCAGTACGCGCATGAATATACGTACATGCATTCGTCATCAGGATGCGCCACCAGAAGTAAGAATTTTTTCACCTTTTGCTTATCAAAATCTACAACCAGCTCATTGATTCCAACTAAATGTCAGTCCTACATTATGAGAAACAATTCAAGCATGAAAGTGATGGGAAAATGAAAGTCACGATAGAGGAGTTCATTTTCAGGGCACTCCTTTTTTCTAACATGAACAAAGCAAAAAAAACGAAGTGCTTCGAGTACCTGAGGTGTTGAAAGGGAGAGGTTTTAGAAGGTAATGAGGAAAGAGAACCAGAAACATCATGCCCATCGCCCACGAAACCGCCAAAATCGGTAGCAACCACTCCATTACCATTCTTCCTGGAACCAATAACCATATATAAATTGGTCTGCAGAAAAGACGGTAAATCGGTAAAGCGGGAGGATGTTTATTGATTACACCAGGAGGCACTACGGACAGTGTGGCTTCTGACTTGAACAAAATAAAATTTGAAGCTTGAAAGCCGTTGGATGTCACGATTTTGCTGGACCAAAGCTTGCTTCGGAGTAAGAATATAACAACGATTCATGGCTTTCTCGAGCTCAATACATCCAGTCCAACATCTGTCACGATCAAATCACAATCACTTTCTGAAAATTCTTGCTCGGATCTGTCATTTTCAATCGAACTGGTGAGGATTTTCCACGCGCACATTGATCATGCACTTCACCGAAGCCTATCCTAGTTTCGACAGTTTCTTGCGCCAATTATGAATAAGATCCAGAAGCTCAGTAAAACCCCGTTCTTGCCTTTTCTATATCCGAAAGAGTGGACAGATCTCATGTTTAAGCTGTACACTCAACTGAAATTGATACACGTAAACAAGAACTGTTCAGATCATGGAGACAGAACCTGTCAGCGATGACTCGCTCGTCAAGCAACAGATCACAACACCTCGCACATAAGTCAGCGGTAGAATTCGCAGGATAACCATCAAAGGACTTCAAAAGTCCAAGAAACATCAATCCCCGAGTCCCCGCGAAAAAAAACTGGAGTTTCAGAACTCACCAACGAAACAAATGGACAAATCTCGTGCAGAAATCACCGAAGCTACAATTCTTCGGGTTTTCGGCACGAAGCGCGCGCTTGATGCTCTGGTGCTCTGATCTGGTGCTCATCCACCCTGTGACTTGAGCAGCATCTTGAAGATCCTGCGGCCTCCTTTCAGAACGAGCGTTATTCTGAAGCGATCGACGCCAGACTTTGCATATTCGCGGCCCAAGATTCTCTACCTCCTCGTCCCGGATCTTTTGTAACGGGTCCAAGAGATTGACAAATCGACAAGTGTTGCCCTGCCCTCGACACTGTCAACTTCGGTATCTTCCTTCTTCATTGATGCTTAGCAATTGATTCCTCGTGCTTTAAATTTGTTGGCAGTCTCAAAAGAGAAGAGCCTTCAAGGTTTGCAAGCTTCTTTTCTCCAGTATTCTCGATAATTGCCGAGCATAATAAGCAAAGGCAAATTGTGGATTGAGTAGGTGACCGACCGCTCAGTAGAGTCCCAAGGGTTCTATTTCCTATTGAATAAAATTAGTAGACATATGTCGTAAGTTGTAGATTGGCTCGGTGCATTGACTACTATTGCATTTATAATTAACCCACATATCACAAATCAATTCATTGACGTAATTAATGAATTAATGCACAAGGGCACTAAGGATTTGTATCCACAAAATGGTAGGCAGTCTTGAGTCTCCGCTTAGGTGGTTGAAGGAACCATTGGCCGTGTGAAGAGATAAGTGGTCTTCATGAGGTAATCTACCCGCATCCAAGAACACTTATGTACCTATGAGACATTGCAGTTCCATGTCCAATCTCCTTGGCACGATTTTAAACAAACCTTTGAGCCAAATTTACTCTAAGTTTTGTATTTGAACAGCAACGTCAAGTATACGTAAATTTATTTCGTTGAGGCCGAAGATGTAGGACCCTAGTTTTACACAACATTTTTTATTTTTATTTTTGGCGATAAGAATGAAAATGGAAGCGACTTCTACACATTTAAAAAAAAATACTGGCTAAAGCCCCAGGCGGGATAGGAAATCAGAAAAAATTCAATTTAAAATAACTAAAATAAACAGAGTCCAATGGATGAAAGTTGAAGTGTTAGATGCAAGATTGGTTGAAGCCGCTTGTGTGTCCCGCACACGGTATTCTTTGGTAAAAGGCGAAAGAATAGTTCGCTCTGGGCTGAACACGCAGTCATGCAAGAGTGGGTGTGGGTGTTGTGCCGTTATGTTTCAATTGCAACAATTATAAAACAATTGTTGGAGTCCAATTTTCGGGAGTGGTGGGTGTTCACGAGTGAGACCAAGGGCTTAAAAGAGTCTTGATGTGAAAAGATGTAAAAGCTGCCTTGTTAACAAAGCCGTCCATTTTTTAAGGTGGATGATCGGCTATATAAACACACCATTTTGAAAGATTCTAGCTGTAAGATAAAAATGCAATATATCTCTCAAATCTATCTTTCTTTCCTCACCTTTACATCAAGAGTCCACTAATTATGTCCTTCTGGCATCAAGTATATCATTTAAATCCCATTTTCAAGTTTGGAATATAATTTAATAATTAGTTTTGGAAATCGTTTCTGTAATATATCACGAGATATTATAGAGATCATATTGTACATATTGCGAAAATTAGTTTAGAAAGATTCTATATGATAGATCATTGTACCATAAAAGTCTCTTACTTCAATTTCATAAGCTTTTTTCTTCAATTGTTGCAGGAAACAATCGACCAGCCAGGAAACTACATACTTAATTTTATTCTTGAATCTAACAAAGTGCAACTATGTATGGTTTTCGTCAATACGAACTTTCATGTGTTTCAAAAAATTTAGATAATTTTAGATTATACGTTCATGATGTATGGATGAGTCAAAAGAATACAAAGAGTTTATATAAACTTACCTTCGTCTAGTCTATATTTGATTTTTTCATATCACTGTCTTATTTCATCTTGAATCTCGAATTTAGAGAGGATATATATAACTTTTTTGAGCCATGTTATTTATTTTCATGTTAGTATATCAATATATAACATTGTGCTTAGATGAGATATTCATAAATAAATGTTTGAATAGTATAATGATAGTGAGGCCCTTTGTAGACCCCGTCTATCACCTGAAAAACTCTGCTATGGGAGATTAGGTTTTGTTTTAATAGTGAAAAAAAACTTTTCTCTTCCTGTCTCCACACTTTATAAAGTGATGTTTCTCTCGAAGTTAGAAAACATGGTTTGTAAAGCTTCTCTTTGTAAGGACATGGGAAGCAATCACATGATAAAAATTCCACATCACAAAGTTTTCTCGAAACGCCTTCTTTTCGTACAAGTACACTTATAAATTCACGTATAAAATATTCTAAAAATTCTAAAATATCAAAATGATGAGAAAAAGATTTTATTGAAATTGCAAGTTTTAAGTAAATGTAGCTATGAAAATTATTTTTGTGAATCTCGTCAAATATTTTTCATACATTTTATCCCTAACAAAGGAGAAAATTACTTGATGGAATCCAATCGTAACACAAATAGCTTGATAGACCTCATGACGAATCGTTTTACTCAATCAGATACGTCTTCAAGTTCTAAAAAAAGTTCTTGTAACTACATGCTACAGTATACGCTTGGAAGTTCCAACTTGTTGAATCTATTTTACTATTTCTGCAACCAACTGTGCTTATGACCTTGAGATACACTAGCATCGGAATGGAGTTCAATTCGATGTGCTTGATATCTATTCTTATTTGCAAACTGCAAGAAGATGTTTGCTTCAAGAATGAATTCTCTCAAAGTCCAACTTCTCGCTGAATAAAGAAATTGTGTTGTGCGAATTGCTAGGATTTCCCACAGAGATTGCCACTAATATGCATGAAAGTTCTCAACATACAACAAACTCATCAAGGAGTACCTGAATTAAGTGCATAGAGCAACTCTCAACTTCAAGTAACAATGATTGGGACTAATTTTCCCAAACAAGAGAAGACATAATTCTAACCTCTGTGCTCTTGAATGCTCTCTCGTTTGCTCAACAAGCACTATAATTCAAGGAGGTGTGGGCAGTTGTGTTCACGCTCGTTATCTCAAGATTATTACATACTCTTTTAAAAACTTTGTGACAGTGTGTTGTTAGTGAGGTCCCATCGAGTAAAATGATACATGAATTTATTAATGATGATCCGGATCATCCAAGAACCCAATGTCTCGCAAAAAGCCAAGATCTTTGTGAATAATCATCTGATTGACTCCAAAACAGCGCCAATAGTTCTAATCTAATCCATAGGTTCATTCACATATTAATTTTTCAATAAAAAAAAATCAGCGTTGATGTCTGATCAAGATGAATGCTACTCTTTAGCTCAATGAGAACATCTTCATGAGATTGCATGCTCATCGCGAAACCGACAATTAGAATTTTTTCAAAGTGATAGGAAGTTCATTGAGTACTAATTTCCTCCTATTTGGTAATCGATACCAACATAAATAATTGATTTGATTTTTTTGCAAGAATTTTGCGATAATTTGGATCCTCGCCAATAGGTTCACATGATGAATCTCGTCAAGTTATTTGTGTTACAATAAGATGTCATTAAGTAATTTTATCCTAACAAAGCTTATGCATTACTTTCGTAGAAGTTGACATGTGTGCTTTGCAATTTTCAAATAATGTTCATTATTGATGTGAGTGCTATTTTCATCATCACAGACTTTCCCCATTGCAATCATATTGTAAAGGGTGAGCACGCAATGATACATGGAAGAGGGAGGTGGTAACTAATTCTAAACTATTTTGTAGAATAACAATCTTGATCATGGAAACAAACCTATTCAAATCTTGGATGAAACATGTTGTGTAACTTTGTTGAATATATGTGTTTCAAAATCTGATACATTACATGTTTATAATGAAATGAATTTGTAAAAAAAAATTACTCTACAAAGAGTCAACTTTTTATAACATGGACATATTTTTTATTTCACATTAAAAAATCTCAACAAGGGATACTTTCTTATTATAACAATAGGTGAAGCGTACACTTCATTTTTCACTTATGATAACATGGTAAGCACTAACTAGCCTACAATTGATCAACTCTAGTATGCAAAGACAAAAGAATACTACAAAAATTTTTATATAGCAAGTGAAAGAGTACTTCAAGTCCTAGAATAAGATTGAATCTGCCAATAAAACATCTAGGGTGTAGGATATACATTGATATTGCAATCTAACCACACTCTCTATCATTCAATGCATCAAATATTTTTCAAATAGTGTGCAGAGTTATAAAACAAATAATTTGAAATAGAGATTCAATCACAGATAATTGTTAACTACAGCTCTTAAGCAGTTTTGCTTAGTCAAATCCAAATTATCAACTAAATCTTCATCGTGTGTATTTCAAAATAAGAGTTATTAGATCCAAGTTTTTATAATGAAAGTATGAAAGAAATACATATTTAGAGAAAATTACGTATAAGTGTGAGATAAAATGGAAAAAGTTTAAATTGAAGTGATTATGAAAGTACATAATAAGCTTATAAACCGTAAGAGATAGGCCAGCGGGGGACACTTATCTAATAAACTTGCAAACATCTTTAGGTATTAACTATCTCTTTTCAGTACTCATCTACATATGATGCACTTGGAAGTCTATGTACTTGTGTTAAAGTCATGGTTCCGGTATTAGTAGAGAAGAAAATTAAAAATCACAAGACACAATTTATCAAGTAATTGATTTCATACTCCTTTTATTGTGTGAAATCAAATCAAAATTTTTCCCCAAATTTCTAATGAATCATAAGTGGATGAAATGCAAATTACTTGGTTGCAATCTAAGATACATGTTGTTAAGATTGCAATATGATTTACATATCATATTTAGTCTATAACTCAACCACACACATTATTTGCTAAAAATATTATTAACAACATGACAGAACTATCAGATATCTTTCCACTCTATCCAATTCCACACGATCAATTTCTCAATAAGTTAAAAAACATTTTACAAATCACTTTTGACTCACTTTACACTAATAATAGTTTGAATTCAATGCATTTATTTGAAGATATATTTATTTTTCTAGAGAGTTATATAAGTATATAATTTTTTTTTAGAACTATTTTATAGCTATCTAAAACATACAAATATGTCTTCAAACTCTTTTTGGTATGGGAGCTTAGATTGATGGATACATATTATTTATGAAAAATATTTCTTAATCTATTGTGAAATCTAATATAATGGAACCTAAATCATATGTACAAGTGATTGGACATGATGTTCACTTTAACTCAAGATGATTACTTGATGTGATAACATCAAAAAACAACACATTTAATGA